AATATTCGTTTGTATGTATCACCACATTTTGATAACTCTTCATCTGTTGATGGACACTTAAGATTGCTTCTATCTTTTGGCCATTGTGATGAACACGGTACATAAGGACCTATTGAAGCTCTCCTTTTTAGACTTTCAGTCATATTCTTGGGGGTGAAATTTCTAAGTCATAAGGTAATTTTTAAGGAACTGCCCAAACTTTCCACAGCTGCTGCACTATTTTACAATCTCATCAGCAATGCATGAGGGTTCTGGTTAAGTTGCGTCTTGTCTGATACTAGAACCATCATAGTGGGTGTTAGTTGGTATCTGTGGTTTTGATTTGCATTTCCATAAATGACAAATAACATTAGTCATTATCTTCATGTACTTACTGGCATTTGTGTATCTTTAAAGAAATATTTACTCAAGTTTGATTTTGTTACTAAGTTGTAGGTATTTTTTATATTTTCTAAGTCAAAAAACCAAACTTACTGCCATCAAATTGATTCTGACTTATGACCTTATATGTATTTTAGATCATAGTTTTCCAAACTTATGTGGCTTACTGTCCCCTTTTCAGAAAAAAAAAAAAATTACTTAGCGCTCTCCTGGCAATCAAAAACTTTAATACTATAGCCCACAATCCAGGATAAAGTGTAGGTACCTGCTTGTGCAGCACCCAGAGCCCCCCCAAGGAGTAGTTATCACTCACTTAAGGGAACGCTGTTCTACATAATGTCAAACCCATGTAAATAAGGAGCCTTCAAAGATTTCACGGAAAAATGGAATGGAAAGGTTATGGAATTTTTCCATGAACTTTTTGAAGCTCCTAACCCCCACCCCCTCCACCCATGATTCCCAAATATTTTCTCTCGTTCTGTAGGTTGTTTCTTGACTTTCTTATTAAGGTCCTTAGTTGTATAAGATTAAAAGAATTTCAATTAAGTCCACTTTATTTTGTCTTTTTTTATTCATTCTTTTGGTGCCACATCAAGAATCTGTGGTTGAAAATTAGGTCTCAAAGTTTTACCCCTATGTTTTGGTCTAATAATTGTATAGGTTTTGATCTATTTTTGAGTTAAACTTTGTGTATAATGTGAAATATGGGTGCAGCTACATATTTTTCCATGTGGAAATTCAGTTGTCCCAGGACCATTTATTGAAGACACTTTTCTTTCCTTATTGAATGAATGTGTGTGGTGTAGGGCCCAATTTTACTCCTAAATAGGTGGTCTTTGTCTTTAACTCAGAGAAATAACACTTGGAATCATTGAGGTAACTTTATCTTGGACTTCCAGATTTTTGCTGACAAGCCAGGGGAGGCTGGTTAAACCTGAAGGGGGAAAAAAAACAAACTCCTCTAGGAGGTAGAAATCAACTAGCCTCATAAGGCATGATTTAACCTATTGCAGGACTGGTTAACAAAAATGCCGAACCCAGAGACTCAGAGGGCTTATTGGTTGAGTGTGTTCTCTCAGGAGGGTAGTGTGTCCCTTAGGACTATGCATTTGGAACCTTCCTAGACTTTGCCCGATACGTATCTTTGTTTGTATGGTTTTTTAGCTATAAGAAATCTGAAGTTGTATGTATAAAAATGGCATGAGGATGGTATATGACTTCCCAAAGTGGAAGGAAACTCAAACTCAACATCAGCTCAAGACTTATTCCTATGATGGCGAACAGACACGCCTCCACCTTCCAGCCCTCTTTACCAAGTCTGATTAACACCCCTCCTGCCCACAGCACTCCCTACTTCTCTGCTGGGTTTGATCATTCATTGCTGTGGCCACACAAAACTCACAGACAATGAGATTTAGTAGAAAAGCTAACAAGTTACAATTCAGGATCAGAAATGCTCAGGATGCAGTTTTTCAGTCAGGAATGCCTCTTCTCAACCATGCCCAATGGCCTGCCTCTCTCTGGTCCTTGGCGTCTCGACCATGTGGTCCCTTCGCCCCTGTCCAGCTTGGACAATATGACAAGTTCTCAGTGCTACAGATGAATGCCTAAAGGTCACTATACCATAACTTAGTCTGTTATAAACCTCAGCCAAAAGGTGCTCAATTGTAGCTCTATGAGTTGGCAAACCTAGCTCCCTCCAAATAAGTGCTTGGTGTCACCCCATCCTTCACGCAAGCCACTTCTAAATGGTCTCATGTTCTTGGTGCTGCTGCTGCTGCTGATGCTGCTGCTGCTGCTGCTGCTGCTGCTGTGCTGCTGCTCCTCGGAGCAAGTTCAATGCACAGGGATCTTGGTCCAAAGGGCCCATTCTGCTCTCTTGATGGCAGTGAGCTTTCTGTTCCTGTTCTGAGATGACTCATTTTAGTTGCAGCAGCAGGTTAGCAGCACTGGCCAAGTTTCTACTTTAGAGTTCCACCCACTCTATTTGCATGAATCTACCGAATAATTTGTTGGAAGTTACAAAGACTGGAACGGGAAGAGCCATACCAAGTAAATCAAAGCCAACTTATACTAAAATCTGAACCAAGAATGGGTCTGACGATTGAAGTGGCTGAAATGAAAGAATACTCTCTAACATGTGGATAATTTGAAATTTCGGCCTGTTTCCATAAAGTTATATGCAAGCACAGTCAGGCCCATTCCATGGGAGTGTTCCTATGCACCTTGGGGGGCTTTGTCCTGCTTTCTTCCCTTGGCGAAGTGGAAGCATGCACAAAGGATGGGAACCTGGAGCAAGGTCCAGCCTAAGAGTCCCCAGCCATTGAGCCTTGGTTTGGAAAACCCTCCAAAAGCCCCTCCCAGAGGTGGGAGTGAGCGGGGTGGGGTTGTGTGCCTGGTTCCCTTTGAAGGATGAAACTTGACCTGAATCTGCCCTAGAAGACCCCCTGACCTAAGACCAGAGCGCTGTTCCCCCATGCCTGATCTGAGGGACGCTGGTGCTTGTGTGTTTGTTTTTTTTTATCATTGATCATTTTCTTTTATCATTATGCTCAATGAGATGTCAGTGGACACTTCGATATGCGTTTTACAATGTTAGCGGGCATGTGTTTTCAAGTATTTAAGGGAAATATAACCTTGACTTGCTTCTTAATTATTATTTTTAAAATATTTCAGCTTATTTAGTCGAGGCTCTTAGAAACCTGTTCTATTTCTGACTGGGCTCAGACTCAGAGGTAAGCTCTCCGAGAGGAAAGCCTCTGTCGCTTGGCAATATGTGCCTGGCGTTTTTCTTTGGTCTCCTCGTTCTCTTAGCCCAAAGCTTGGCACATTTGGTGGCTGGTGCGGTTCCTTCTGGGAGATTCGCTGCTGGGTGCTTGTGCACAGGACACGTGGAGTCATGAGATGGTGACTCAGGCACTTTGGTCCTGGGTTTCTTACCTTCCTTGTTCTGGGACTTTCTGACAACATACTAGTGGACATCATCATCTCCAGGGAGATTGGAGAGTTTAAGGATTCTGCTCGCTCTTGGGGGCCCAGGTGACAAGGCACAGTTGTGTCAGTCCTGAGATATCTTTCTCCCCTCTCCCCCCTTTTTTACAATAACCAAGTTGTGAACGCTCAGATTGGCATCCACGATGCCAAGGGATTTGCACTTCCTCTCCTCGGTTCTCTTTGGTCTGTAACAGGAGTGCCCCTCACTTAGCAGCAGCCGTGGGTCAAGGCATCTTGCTTCCTGGGAAACTGCTTGGCGTTGCCACCACGGATGGCGAGCTGCATAGCCCTTCCATTCATCGCCCAGTGCCTCCGGGCAAGTTCTGTGGCCATTTGCTTCTCACAAAAGGTGTGGACTCTGTGGCCATCGTCCACATCGGTGGCTGGGAAGGAGATGTTCAGCTTCATGGTGAAGCAGCCAATCGCCTCCCGCGATGCCCTGGAAAAGAGCTCAATGATTTTTCAAAGATACGTTTTAAAAGTGGGTTGATTTAAAGGTCACGGTACGATAAATGCCATGAGGGAGACCAAAATCTCCACTGAGGGAGGAAGGGAAGAGCCTGCCCCATGGTGAGAGGGGTGGAGAGGCTCAGCGCTCAAATCTGCAGGCAGCCCTGCCCTTTCTAGGTGGGCAGCCTGGAGCGGATAGCTTGGGCGCTTTCCATGGCCCCAGAGCCTCAGCAACTTCATTCGCAAAACGAGAGTTAAGAGGACATGCCTCTGCGAACCGTGAGCATGAACATGAGATAGGCAGGTGAGAGTACCTCACACCCCGCCTGGTGCCTGGTGATGGAGCAGGTCTAAGGGACAGGTGAATCAATAAGGAGTGGTAACAGGCACCCAGAGAACACGGACTTGATCCCTGACTTAGGCTTTGGGAAAACACGATCCTAATAAGCTCCGCCCCCCCCTGCAGTCTGGACGGCCTGATGCCAGAGGGACACTCAGGTCACTCACGTGGGAAAATGCAGTATGGTGGACTTACAGCACAGACTCCCTTCACAAGGTTGGACATGTAACCACTTTTATCATTTGCATCCCAGGGATGGCCTCTACAGCATCACCCCAAATCAATCAAAGCTGAGGGAAGCATTTGTTTTCTTTCATTTACTTCTTTTAAATCGAAGGTGTGATTTACAGACGGCATCATCCCCCTGGTGTGCCGTCTAGTCCGTGTGTGTTGGCACACAGCGTTGTAGCCGCCACTACCACAAGACACGGCACAATGCTCCTGTGGATGATTTTCATGGGCTGCCAGGGTTTGAGTCTCATCTGCTGCTCGGGCGGGACAGGGTGGCATCAGAGAAACCTCTCGGGCAGGAACTTACAGAGCAGGCAGAAGACCATGTGGGGAGCACCCCGGCATCCGGCTCCTCAGTCTTGACATGTACACAGGCTTAAACCGTTAGGCACACCCTGTCTCAGGCAGGAACCAGGAAGCAGGGGTCAGAGCACCTCTTGTGGGGGAAGGAGCGAGAAGTGGGCGGGCATCCCCTCTGCAGAGGGCCAGCACCCACTTCCTGTTTCACACCCTGCTGGGAGGCACTGAATGAGGGTACGGGATCATCGCCAGACTGAGCCCTTGCCACCACTTGGGTCCGGAAAGAGCAGGACAACCTGGCTTGGCTGCTCCCGGTGGCAGAATGGAAGCCGAGGATGGCCCTGAGTATGGCAAGCCTGACTTTGTGCTTTTGGACCAAGTGACCATGGAAGACTTCATGGCAAACCTGAAGCTCAGGTAGACCCAGCCTGGGGTGGCTTCCTCGCTCCTTTGTCCTGGGCGCAGGGTCCAGCGGTCGAGGGAGGCTTCCTGGGTATCCTCTGTAGGAGAGAGGGGGAAGCAGTGGCCACACCCCTCCAGGGCACTCAGACTGGACCAGATAGCTCAAGTTCATGCACAGGGATTTCCTAAGGGAACTGTGAGGCAGGCAGAGGGGACAGTATGTACAAATCACGGAGAGCAACTGCCCTTACCACAGTTAGTTGGGGCTAGACTGGGTTCTGCCACAGGCCCCTGGTTCCAGTATAGCTAACTTTAGCTTCTTCCACTGCCCCAAAGATCACTGATCTCCTCCAGCTGGCTCTTGCCTCTGCCCTTCCCATCCCTGTCCTGAGAGCTTCATTTTTGGAGTGGGGCAATGGGTTGAGGTTTCTGCTCCCGAGGAGGGCACCTAATGTCGGGGTAGAGGAGGGAGCCAGCAAGCAGTTCCTAGAAGTGATGTCTTGGGTGGGTATGGGAGGATGACTAGGATGCCACATGGGGGAAGAGGAAGGGAAGGTGAGGCAGTGTGTCCACAAAAGCCTGAGCAAGGCTGGGCCACAGGGTGGGGTGGGGGGTGGGGGCGGGAGAGAGAGACAGAACTTTGGTTTGGTGCCAGGCACAGCATTAAGGACTTTGTATACCTGATGTCATCTAATTCTCATGCCAACTAGCTTACAAAATAATGCTGCCTGTGAACACCAGGTCTCTTGCTGTTGAGGCGAGGCATATAGAAAGGCCTGTGGAGGGCGAGGGCTAAGGGGGTGGGCCCGGTACCAGAGAGAGTTCACGTGTCTCCGTTAGCGCAGCAAGGGTTCTGAAAGAGAGCTGCAGACAGACCTGACACAGGCACTTGACAAGGCCCTGGTTTAGGAAGAGAAGAAGTGGGAAGTTTGAGAAGGGTTTGTGTTGTCATGGGAGCCTGAGCATGTGCAAGAGGACTGAGAGCCTTTGTCTGGTCCTCTCTCTCGGCCCTATCCCTAGTTGTTGTTGTTGTTGTTGTTGTTGTTGTTGGCTGGGTAGGAGTAGCCTAGACTTCCCTCAGCCTCTCGACCTTCAAGACAGGACACAGCTTGAGGTATCCTCTCTCTCCACATACACACACCTCCCCTGTCCTTTCTCCTTGGGACACTAGGCTGATCACCACCCATCACCCCTCGGTCTTCCTGTGTCTACCTTGGGAGAGTCAGACTAAAACTGACCACCGGCTCCACTTCTGTCTGTCACTTAAGCCAGTTCCTGTGTCTGGGTGGTTCCTCCTTTTATAAGATAGGTGCTCAAGATTCTTGTCTGCTCTGGGACCTCTATTCAGTTCATCAAGAAGGTTTTTCTGGGCTCCCCTTACACCCTTCTCACCTAATGCCCTGCTCCCCTGCATGTCCGTCTCCCTACTCATGACCACGGTCCTGATGCCGTGGGGCATGGCACACAGGCCAAATGCTCTGGGACCTAGACTTAGGATGGGGCTGTGGACAAGCAGCAGTCCTGTGAGTGCTGAAACCTGACCCTGTTCTGTCCCTAGGTTTGAGAAGGCCCGAATCTATACCTACATTGGTGAAGTACTAGTGTCCGTGAACCCCTACAAGAAGCTGCCACTGTATGGGCCTGAGGCCATCGCCCTGTACCAGGGCCGTGAGCTCTATGAACGGCCACCCCACCTCTACGCTGTGGCCAATGCCGCCTACAAAGCCATGAAGCGCCGATCGAGGGACACCTGCATCGTCATCTCAGGTCAGACAGCCGTGATCCCAGTCCATAGCTTTCTCCAGCGCAGCATCCTTCTCTGTAGATGTTGGGGCAGGGGTGGGAGTGGGAGGATGTGTAATGTCAGTCCTAGAGTGCTAACGGGTGGGGAAGGAAGCTGATCCGAGGAACATCAGCTAATGGGCCCAGCCTGGTGGGAGCATCCTCACCGGTTTATCTATTCCCACCCGTGTGCTGGCAGGGGAGAGTGGGGCAGGGAAGACAGAAGCTAGCAAGCACATCATGCAGTACATCGCAGCTGTCACCAATCCAAGCCAGAGGGCTGAAGTGGAGAGGTAAGGAAGAGGGGGGCGGGAACAAGCCGTGGGTGACTTGCACCGTGTGAGTAGGTAGACCTGTAACCTAAGACAGGAACAATAAACCAGGGCTTGGACCCCACTTACCAAGGATCCCTCCTTAACATAAGGCCAATGGCGATGGCTCTTAAGAAAATGCCAGAGACAAGACACGGCTGGATGGCAACTGAGGGGGGATGAAACCTACAAGAGGCCACCCCAGACTGCAAGAGAGGGGCAGCGGGAGACAAAGGGTGCAGATGAGAAAGATGGAGGAGGAGAGTGGAGAAACAGCAGGAAGGAGGCTTTGCAGGGCAGTGGGAGTGACCCTGGCAGACCAAAAGCACTGGAGAGGGTGTTTGGTCACAAGCCGCCTGGTCATGACAGCTGGAGGATGCTGGGTAAAAAATCACTTGGGCTGGGGCAGGGTTTCCCTGCCACACCCAGCTGAGGGACCTTGCAAAAGCAGTTTCCTGTGTTGGGCAGGAGCCTCAATCTCTTCCTGTTTGGCGGGGACAGGGGGGTGAGGTGAGGTAAGATTGCATCAATGTCCTGGGGACTGCTAAGCCTCTGCAAATGGAAGTCATGGCGAGTGGTCCAGCTGCTGACAGACAGGTGCAGCCGAGGTCTGGAAAAGGGGAGGAGATCAGGATAAGGAGGGGACAAAAAGAGCCAGCATCTTTGGAGCACCACTAATGGACAAAGCTCATTGCCAACAGTCTCTCAGCCCAAGCTGCCCAGTATCTGCCCGTAAAGCTCAACTGTTGAGCATCTAAACGTGAGGTGGGCAAAGGAACCATGCTGGGGTACAAACTCAGGCCCTGTGACTCTCACTAACCCTAAGACTTTACGGTTTTCGTGGGAAGATTTCAAAGGGAGGGACAATGGTCTAGAGATACCACTGTTCCCCTGAAAGGAGGACTTTAAGAGTATAGCCCCTGTACCCACTGTCATGGCAACATAGTCCCCTTCTGTCCCCACAAAGGGTCAAGGATATCCTGCTCAATTCCACCTGCGTGCTGGAGGCCTTTGGCAACGCTCGCACCAGTCGAAACCATAACTCCAGTCGCTTCGGCAAATACATGGACATCAATTTCAACTTTAAAGGAGACCCCATTGGGGGTCACATCCACAGCTACCTGTTGGAGAAGGTGGGGCCAGCTATTGAAGACCCTGGGCAGGTGGACTGAGGAAGCCCTGTGTCCCAAGTCCCCCCGCCTGGAGAAAGGGACCCTGATGTGTGTGCCATTCACTGGCACTGAGAGAGCCAACTAGGGGCTGGGAGGTACTAGGTAGTGTCTGTCTCCATAGGAGACTGGAGGGCCTGCCCATCTCTACCACCAGACCCAGCCTGCTTCCTTCTCTGGGCCTCAAAGTCAGAGAGGTCTGGAGTCGGGGATCTGATCCCCTTGTGCTACACGGCAACTAAGGGCCACTCAGTGAAAGGGGTTCCAATGGATGGCCTCTCAAGACACAGATTCCAACTCTTCTTCTTTCTATAGTCCCGGGTCCTCAAGCAGCATGTGGGCGAGAGGAATTTCCACTCTTTCTATCAGGTGAGGGGCGGTAAGGGAGGTGGAGATGCTGCCGGGTCCCAGGGGGTGGGGAGGTGTGTGTGTGTGTGTGCAGAGTGTGTGGAGGTACGACCTGCCTGTGAACTTTGCCCTGCAGTACTGTCCCACCAACATTAGTTCATTCCTGGCCCTGGGGTTATGCAACCCAGTGAGAACCCATTAGAGACAACCAACCGCCCATGGCCCTGTCATAGTTCCAGCAGCAGAAGAGTGGGCAAGCTGCAGATAAGGCTTACAAAAAAGGTTTTAAAAGTGCTGCAGCACATGGAAGCAGCACACCAACATGTGTGATCATGAAGGGCCAAAGGGACCAGGCTTTAAACACCAAAGGTGTGGGGGCGGGGGAATCATATCCTCGTCAATGAGGGTGGTGCGTGGTGGAGACCCAATGCCCATCTCTAGACAACTGGACATACCTTGCAGAGGGGTAGTGGGGAGATGAGTCACTTAGGGTACAGTATAGCAATAATGAAACCCACAACCTTCCTCTAGTTCTTAAACGCTTCCTCCCCCCAAGTACCAGGACCCCAATTTTGCCTTGCAGACCTGGTTAGACCAGATGATGCACAGCGGTACAGATGGGAATTGGAAACGCAGGGAATCTAGGACAGATGAACCTCTCAGGACCAGGGGTGACAGTGGCGATACCAGGAGGGAAAGGGGATGAAGAAAGGGGGAATGGATCACAGGGAGCTACATATAACCTCCTCTCTGGGGGATGGGCAGCAGAAGGGTGGGCGAAGGGAGACGCCGGACAGTGTAATATAAGATACAATAATAATTTATAAAATATTAAGGGTGCATGGGGGAGAGGGGAGGAGGAAGGGAAGGGGGGGAAGGAAAATTAGCGGATTCTGGGAACCCAAGAGGCAAGCGAATTTTGGGAATAATGAGGGCAACAAATGTATAGATGTGCTTTACACAATTGATCTATGTATTGTGATGAATTATATGAGCCCCAATAAATTGATTAAAAAAAAAAAAGCGCTGCAGAAAGCAGCCAGTGGAGAAGGACAGCAGCAGTGGGGTTGGTGCAGTGGTGGGGAGGGGGAGGGGTGGCGGGATAGGAGATCCCTGAGCACAGCGATTTGGAGCCAAATGCAGGAGTCACCGAGGAACCACTGAAGGCCCGCGCTATACAGGACATTCTGAACACTTTAAGGCAAGCAGAGGAAGATTCGGTCTGAGTTATGCTTAAAAGGACCACTCTGGCGGGTAGGCAGATAAGGGTAGGGCAGGAGCACCAGGTGAGAGGGGCAGAAATCATGAGAGTCCAGGGTTCTGGAGTGGAAGACTGCTATATTAAAAAACTCGACAGATCATGTTTATACTATGACAAATTGTACATGGGAAGACTCAGGGCAATCCGCACCCATGTCTCCTCTCCATCCATCCCGCTGTGACGCTGACCGTAGTTGCTTTAGCAGTTTCTGTGAATTTCCTTCGTCGTTGTCACTGTTGAACGGCTGGGCCGTTACAAACATTCTAAGCGCAACACCCAACACTTCAGTGCTGAGCTCTGAAGATAAGATCTTTCTCCTTCATAAACAGACTCTCAGGATCACATTGAAGAAAAGTAACCAAAAAATCATAATTTTATCCAATATCTAATATCCAGTGCATGTTTCAATGTCCCCAGTTGTTCCAAGAATGCTTTCACTGCACCTTTGGATCTATACATACACATACATGCAGAATTTTCCAAGACATTTAGGCAAGGGGTGTATTGTTAGCTACCAGTCCAGGTGACCTCATCCCTAGACAACTGCTTGGATTCCGCCTCCAGTCACATGTCGCCCCAAAGAGGAAACACCCAAACATCACATCACCCCCACGCCCCTTATTCAAACTCTCCACACTCCTGGCTGCCCTCAGGGAGAGCCCTCCTTGTGCAGCCGACACTGAGAACCTGTGGTCCTAACGGAAGTGTGAGTGGGCTGAGCTGTACGTGTGAGGGCTGCTAGGGACTGGGGGGCTAACTCAGGGTCTTCCCTTCCTTTAGCTGTTGCGGGGGAGTAAAGAAGAATTACTGCAAGAGCTGCACTTGCAGAGAAACCCCGCTCTATACAACTTTACCCGCCAGGGAGCAGGACTCAACGTGAGTGGGGACGCAGGCACACGCCCAGGGCTCGGGGCCCCGGCATGGACCCAGGCTCAGTGTATGTGTGCTGGTGCCCTGGGCTCAGACCAGCACTGTGGTGGAGGGAACAGCACGTAATGTGGTCCTGGGTGAAGGACACGGGGCACACGGGGCACGCTGGGAGGATACTGGGCAGAGCACAGCACTGGTTGCTGCAGACATGGCTCTGCATGGTCTCGGAGGGGGAAATCTTTTTTCCCTCAGGCCTTGGATAGTGATGAGAGGAGTCACCAGGAAGTGACCCAAGCTATGAAGGTGATTGGCTTCAGTCCCAAGGAGGTGGCATCTGTTTACTGCATCCTAGCTGCCATACTGCACTTGGTGAGCATCAAAAAGCCAAAGAATGGCCACTCCCTACCTCAGAGTCCTGGCTAAGAGCCCCCGAGAGGGGGGAAGGGACTGGCCTGGGATCGATCCCCAGAGGGGTTGTCAGTTCTCTTTCCCTTGTGTGCTCAGTTGCTTCTGCTGGAAGCTCCCTTGAGGCCAGTTCTTAAGCATGGCCTCTGCCCACCCACCACCCCCACCCTCGAACTTGACTAGGCCAGGCCTACACATGTTTGTTCATATCTAACTGTAGGGTGCAGGTGCAGCCAGGAGATGGTCAGAGTTCTGTCCATAGATGCTATGACTTCTCAAAGTGGGGTTTGGCTTCTCTGAGGTCCAGTTCTCCCTGAGACAGACTTCCTGTAGCGACTGAGGGAAATCGATGTCACCTTTTTGGCCTTGTGAGCTCACTGCACCTGTGATTGGTCGGGACAAACTGATCACTCTAGTCTGAATCGAAGCCAGGACTCCACCCCCCGCTCACCCCACCCTCCACCCCTGCTTTCTCTTCCTCTTCCACCCAAAGGGATGCAGGTTTCATTGACCTCTATTCTGTTTATGCTTCCCCGCCCCCATTACCAGGGAAACATTGAGTTTGTGGAGATGATGGAGGAGGGGCCAGAGAAGGGGACCCTAAGGGTAGCAGAGGAGGTGCTGGTGGACCATGTGGCTAAACTGACAGCCACACCCCGGGAACTGGTGCTCCGCTCCCTGCTGGCTCGCACAGTGGCCTCGGGAGGCAGGGATCTCATCGAGAAGGGCCACTCCACGGCTGAGGCTTGCTATGCCCGGGACGCCTGTGCCAAGGTACCTGGGGGAAGAAGGTAGGCGGGGCACTTCCAAGGCCTTCCCAGAAGGGCGCGGCCAGAGAAGCAAGCGGCAGCCTCACCCGCATCTTTCTCCTCCCCCAGGCAATTTACCAGCGGCTGTTTGAGTGGATTGTGAACAAGATTAACAGTGTCATGGAAGCACAAGGTCGGGACCCTCGACGTGATGGCAAGGACACAGTGATTGGCGTACTAGACATCTATGGCTTCGAGGTGTTTCCTGTCAACAGGTGGCCCAGTCAAACACATCCCACCTCTAACCCTGAATCCTCCTGGCTTCCAAACCTCCCCTTCTGTCCCAGTCGGTCCCAGGGGAGTTTGGCTGAAAACTGGCCAAAGGGGGTCTGGCATTTTTTTCCCAGTGGGTCCTTAGGCCCAGAGCCGCCACTTCTTCAAAGCCTGGCTCTGCAGTGCCACCCATTAATGCCACCCTGTTTCTGCTTTCCATGGTAGTTGGGGCTGCATAATGCTTAGAAGGGCTACATTTCAGGCCCACTGCGGCCATAGCCATTCAAATCCACTCCCGAGCAGGGCCTGGAGGCAGGAGAAGGCCCAATGGGAGCGGGAGGGGGTGGGGGAGTGTCACGGCACCAGATCCCTTGGAAAGTTGCCTGGAAATGTCTGGGGGAGCAATCCTGGGAGCAGTCAAAGCCCACTGCCGGCCCGAATGGAGCAACTCTGAACGTGCTTCCTCACCCCAGCTTTGAGCAGTTCTGCATCAACTACTGCAACGAGAAGCTCCAGCAGCTGTTCATCCAGCTGGTCCTGAAGCAGGAGCAGGAGGAGTACCAGCGTGAAGGCATCACTTGGCAGAGCGTGAGTACGCGGGGGCACCGGCTACCCACCACGCACGGGGACACAGACACGGGGGTCTGCGTGCTCTCCGTCGGGAGGGTTGAGGGCACCACTCACATCACAATAAAGCAGGGACAGATCCAGGGCCAGGCTGTGCTGAGGAAGGAGGAGGATGTGTTTACAGCAGGACAGTAGGAAGCCTTGCTGGCCGGGCAGAACGTGAGCACTATGCCAGGGCACACAACGGACTCGGGCAGCTGGCGTAGACTGACAGGGAGGCTGGATGGAGAGAGGCCGGCTTCCCTGAGGCCCTGCCCTGCTTGCCTCACGGCCCTCAGATCACCTACTTCAACAACCTGGCCATTGTGGAGCTGGTGGAACAGCCCCGCCGGGGCATCCTGGCCGTGCTGGACGAAGCCTGCAGTTCTGCGGGCACCATCACTGACCGGATCTTCCTGCAGACCCTCGACGCTCACCATCGGCATCACCCACACTATACCAGTCGCCAGGTGCTTGCCCCCCACAACAGCAGCCTCCTGGGACTGTCCCCCCCCACCCTCTCTGCACCCCTTCTGTGCTTAACTCCGGGCCTGTCCCCACAGCTCTGCCCTATGGAGAAGAGCATGGAGTTTGGCCGAGACTTCCAAATCAAGCACTATGCAGGGAACGTCACGTAAGGCCTCCCGACCCCAGCTCAGCCCCTGAGCCCCCACTGTGTGAGGGCAGAGCTACTCCAAGGGCAGGGGGTTAAAAGACAAATTGTTTTCTCCCTCTCACCTCCACCTCCCCCCACCCCAGTGGCTTTTAGAAATGATATCTAGCATATTTTCCTCAGATTCCTGAAGATTATGGACTACAAAACATACAACATTTTATTATGATTTAGGTCAAAGTTTACAGAACAAATTAACTTTCCCATTAATAGGCAATGAATGACCCAGGAGTTCCTGGTAATCATTGCAGGCAATGATATGTATTGAGACTCCATAGGTGCTATTTTGAGCATGTGATGTACTATCTTGGAGCCCAGAAAGGTTAAGTAACTTGTCAGAGGTAATATGGAAATGGAAGAGCTAGAATTCAACGCCAGGACATCTGGCTCCAGAGGCTAACACTTACATGCTTACTCATCTCCCAGGAGAGAGGAGCTGTCCGTTTTCACAGAGAAGGCAGGCCTGAGAGGGAGAAAGGAGAGCAGGGCCCGAGGGGCAGGGGTAGAGGTGTCAAGAGAGACAACGGTTGGCATCAGAGAGGAAGAGAGACCAACCTAGGCGAAGGAGAGGCAGGGTTGGAGGGAGATGGGTCAGTGCCCTTAGTCGATCCTAGCCCAGCTCCTCTCTCCCCCTGCCCATGGTGCCTGTGTCAGGCTGCTCACCTCTTCTCCCCTTTCCTCACTGCCCGTGGCCCCTGCAGGTATTCTGTGGAGGGCTTCATCGACAAGAATCGAGATTTTCTCCTCCAGGACTTCAAACGACTGCTGTACAGTAGGTGAGTGTGGGTGCCTTGATGGAGAGGTGTCACGGATTCACGGGGCCCTCCTAGGACTACGGGATCTGGCTGCACCCTTTTGTGGGTGGAGAGATGAGCCCAGGGCTCATGGCTGTGCAGCACGTGAATAGCGGGGGTGGGGGAAATGGCTACTCCCCTGGAGGAGCTGGCAAACAGCCTGTGTCTGTAGCACAGACCCCACCCTGCGGGCCATGTGGCCAGATGGACAGCAGGACATCACAGAGGTGACCAAGCGCCCCTTGACAGCTGGTACACTCTTCAAGAACTCCATGGTAGCCCTGGTGGAAAACCTGGCCTCCAAGGTATGGACACCCAGCCTTGCCCCAGCTCCTTCTCCCTGCAGCTCCCAGGGCCTCGGGGTAGTCTGAATCGTTGACTGGTTTGTCATGTACCACCTGCATTCTGGGGTACATTCAGATGCCCATGCCCAGGGCTGGACTGGGCTCCACGTCATTCACCTTGTAAAGAGGAGCAAGCAGAGCTGGCGTCTGGAACCCTGGTCTTTTCTGGCCCCCCGTGGCTCTTGGGTGGGGGAAGGCTAAAGGAGATCCTGCTCTAAGTTGCTTTGTCTCCACCCACCACCTGCCCAGAACCACCAGGGACAGGAAACTGGCTTGAATGTCTTTGGGAGTTTCATGCCCAAAGCCAGAGCTGGGTGGCATTGGTGGTGGTGCCTTACGGTAGACCTGAGGAAGACAACAGACAGACAATTGTGCTGGTCCCTTGGACCTCTCTGTGAGGCAAAGGGTAAGGCAGGAGATGCTACCCATTCACCCTGTTCATGGCCCCTCTTGCTTACTGACCACACCTCTAGTGGCCTTCTTCTTTTCATGATATCTCTTTCCCCTCAAGTCCCTTCTTAAACTCAGTCCTACTGCCAACTAATTACTGTCTCCCACCCATGCCTTTCTATGCTTGAACTTGGCTCCCCTCCTCCCCATGGTGAGCTTCCTCTAGACCAGGGGTCCTCAAACTTTTTAAACAGGGGGCCAGTTCACTGTCCCTCAGACCCGTTGGAGGACCGGACTATAGTTAAAAAAAAAAACTATGAACAAATTCCTATGCACACTGCACATATCTTATTTTGAAGTAAAAAAACAAATGGGGCAATAACACCCAGCGGGCCGGACAAATGTCCTCGGCGGGCCCCGGGGGGCCCGCGAGCTGTAGTTTGAGGATGCCTGCTCTAGACTTTATAGGTGGCAGTATGGCATTGGACAGCAGGGGGTTGCCTGAGTTCCTGGCCTTGCAGTCTCCAGCTGGGAACTTAACTCTCACTCTACCCCACCGGGGCTGTGGTGGGGTCAGGACAGAGCACAATCTGGGATCTGGACATTCTTCCCTGGGACTTGTGTCAAGTTCTCTGGGCCCCTGTGTCCTACAGGAGCCTTTCTATGTGCGTTGCATCAAGCCCAATGAGGACAAGGTGCCTGGGAAGCTGGATGAGGACCACTGCCAGCATCAAGTGGCATACCTTGGGCTCCTGGAGAACGTGAGGGTCCGCAGGGCTGGCTTTGCGTTCCGCCAGCCCTACCCCCGATTCCTGCTCAGGTACTATAACCCTCCCCTGCCCTCTGTCACCACGCACACCTACTCAATTCACTGAATGTATGGCAGCCCCACGTCCTTCTCTTAGCTCCAGGGCATGTTCCTCCTGGACTCTGCGGAGTAGGCCCCAGGGTCCCTCACAGAGCACTTCTCAGACTTCAGCAAAGCTGGTATAGCATGGCTGCTGATGCAGACGTTCGTGACGTTTGCCAGAGACACGTGCAAACAGAAGTTTCCATGCCATCCTCCTCACTGCCCCTTATTCTCGCCGTGACAGGTACAAGATGACCTGTGAATACACTTGGCCCAACCACCTGCTGGGCTCAGACAGGGCAGCTGTAAGTGCCCTCTTAGAGCAACATGGACTGCAGGCGGATGTGGCCTTTGGCCACAACAAGCTGTTCATCCGCTCGCCGCACACCTTGGTCACGCTGGAGCAGAGCCGGGCCCGCCTCATCCCCATCATTGTGCTCCTGCTACAGAAGGTAAGGGTGGCAGGTTGTGGGTCAACCATGGTAGGGAGCTACGGCAGTCATTCCCACAGGTGCAAGAGACAGACCATCCCCCAGCTCCACACGACGTAGTAAAGTCATGAGTACCGTTCAAATGACTACAGAGTCCTGTTGGCCACCAAACTGAGGTGTAGATGGATACAATTGCTCAAAACAGGGTTTTCAAGGATCCAGTTTGATTTCCTTTCCCCACTTCTTCCTTCTTTGCTTTTCTCCCTTTCGTTTCTTCTGTTTATTGCGGAGGGTTTCAGATCCAGGGAAAGATATGGAGACTAGTATCATAAAATAGTATAATGGGCCCACACCCCCAACATTGACAGCATCAGCTCTGGCCAGCATGACTCCTGTTAGCACTTGTAATTTTTAAAACTTTTAATAGATCATTTTATTGGGGGCTCTTACAGCTCTTATAACAATCCATATACCCATTGTATCAAGCACATTTGTACATATATTGCCTTTTCAAAACATTTTCTTTCTACTTGATCCCTTGGTATCAGCTCCTCTTTTATTTCCTCCCTCTCCCACCCTTCCACCCTCATGAACTCTTGATAAATTAAAAATTATTCTTATTTTCATATCTTACACTCTCCACCATCTCCCTTCACCCACTTTTCTGTTGTCCATCACCCAGGGAGGAGGTTATATGTAGATTCTTGTAATCAGTTCCCCCTTTCCACCCCACCCTCCCAGTATCGCCACTCTCAGCACTGGTCGTGAAGGGATCATCTGTCCTGGATTCCCTGTGTTTCCAGTTCCTATATGTACCAGTGTCCATCCTCTGGTCTAGCCAGATTTGTAAGGTAGAATTGGGATCATGATAGTGGGGGGGGGGAGACAGGAAGCATTTAGGAACTAGAGGAAAGTTGTATGGTTCGTTGTTGCTACATTGCATGCTGACTGGCTTTTCTCCTCCCCGCGACCCTTCTGTAAGGGGATGTCCAATTGCCTACAGATGGGTCTTGGGTCCCCAATCTGCACTCCCCCTCATTCACCATGATTTGATTTTTTGTTCTTTGATGCCTGATACCTTCCTCTTGTCCCACTATCATGTTCGACCTTCATTTGACTCTCAATACTTTCGCTCTGCTATGTTGCACTTGATCAGACCCCATCAGGTTATATGTTTATCTTATAGCCTGCTACATTCCAAATTTTTCAATTAGTTCCAGCAATTTTTAAGTGAATCTTTGGGGTTTTCTATATATAGGATTTGATAGTAAGCCTGTTCACATCTCTTGACTGTGGCCAGAGAGAATCTGTCAGAGGCTTAATCTGACTAGGTGCTCTCCGAATGGATTTTGGGCTCCCACTGTCTTCCACAATCTTCTACGGATGGCATGTTCACAATTTAAGATCTGATACCTTTCCCTTGATGAAGTCTTTTGATGCGGTGGATTGCATGGATTTTTTTTTTTTTTATGTTGAACCATCCTTGCATTCCGGATATGAATCCTACTTGGTCATGATGAGTTATTTATTATTTTTGAATTATTTAACATATTTTTTATATTTTGTTGGATTCTATTGGCCAGAATTTTGTTGAGAATTTTTTCACGTGTGTTCATGAGAGATATTGGTCTGTATTTTTCTGTCTTTATGGGGTCTTTGCCTGATTTTGGAATCACAGTTAGGCTGGCTTCACAGAAAGAGTTTGGGAGTATGCTGTCCCTTTCTATATTCTGGAATAGTCTGTGTAGAATTAGTGACAGGTCTTCCCTGAATACTTAGTAGAATTACCCTGTTAAGCCTGCTGGTCCTGGTCTTTTCTTGGTTGGAAGCTTCTCGATGACCATCTATTTCTTCTTTTGTTAAAGGTCTGTTCGGGTTTTCCACATCCGTCTGCATTAGTTTGTGTAGACAATGTAGTTCATGGATTTGCCCATTTCTTCTAGATTATCCAACATCTTTCATAATACTGTGTTATTATTCTTTCTGGTTCATTTGAATCTGTTGTACTGTCACCCTTTTATCTCTAGTTCTAGGTATTTGTATCTTCTCATTCTTTTCCTATGTGTTTGCCAGTGATTTGTCAATTTTGTTCATCCATTTTAAAAACCAGCTTCTTGGCTTGTTGATTTTTCCATTGTTTTACTGGTTGATTTATTTATGGTCTGATTTTTAGCCTTTCTTTTCTTCTGTTGTTGGAGGGTTTATGTTATTGCCTTTGGTCTAGTTTTTGGAAGTGTTGTGTTGGGTGTTGATTTTGGATCTCTCCTCTTTTTTCATGTGTGCATTGGTTGCTATAAATTACTTTCTGATAACTGCTTTTTCTGTGTTTCAAAGGTTCTGGTATTCTGTGTTGTAATTATCATTTGTTTCAAATTTCTGAATTTTATCTTTTATTTGATTTATTACCCAGTAATTTTTAAGTAGTATGTTGATCCATCTCCAGGTGTTTGTACTATGTTTCTATTCTTTTTATTGTTGATTTCCAGTTTTATAGCATTGTAATCTCAGAAGATGGGTTGTAAAATCTCAGTTTAAAAAAAAATTGTTGAGGATTGTCTTATGGCCTACCATATGATCTAGTCTAGAATGAGTACTATGTGCGCTGGAGAAGACTATATATTGTGTTGTTGGGTGGAGTATTCTATTTTGGTCTAGGAGAAACAATAATTTAATAACTAAAAAGGAGAAAAAGAAAGGAAAATAAAAATAAGGGAGGGAAAAAAAGAAATAAAGATGGCAATAAAGAAAACTAGGTAGGGAAGAGGAGCCCTGGTGGTGCAGTGGTTATGCATTGCACTGAAATCTGCAAGGTCAGCAGTTTGAAACCACCAGCCACTCATTGAGAGTACGATGAGACTAGAGTAGGGATTACAGCTTAATTTAAAATCTCAAAAACTCACAGGGGCAGTCCTAGCCTGTCCTATAGGGTCACTATGAGTCCCTCGCTTGAGGGCAGTGATTAAGTGAAAGAGTGAAAGTGGGTAGGAAAAGGGAGAAAGATAAAAAGAAAGAAAAAGAAAGGAAGGAGAAACAAGATAAATATCAGAAAAAGAAAGAAGACAAAAAGGAAGCAGAGAAAAAAATAAGAGAGAGGAAAGAAAAGAAAATTCATGAAAAACAGGAAAAGGAGAAAGTTGAGTATGGGCAGAGTCCAGAAAGGAGAAAACAGTGAGGGACAGGCATCCAGTACAAGGTAATGTCTTACAATGACCGATGTCTCCCTTCACTCACTTTTCTGTTGTCCGTCCCCCTGGGAGGGGGTTATATGTAGATCATTGTGATTGGTTCCCCTTTTCTCCCCTAACCTTTCCCTTCCCCTCCTGGTATCACTATCTCATAATTGGTCCTGAGGGGTTTATCTGTCCTGAATCCCCTGTATTTCCAGCTCTTATCTGTACCCAT